GGGCGGAGGGCGCGCACCGGAGGGGCGTGGCCGGGCCTGGGCCTGGGCGCCCTGCTGGAGCGCAAGAGGGCGATGCCCCGGCCCCTAGCTTCAGGTTACCACGGCCTCAGGGGGTCGCACCTTAGGGCAGTCGGGCTCCCGAGAGAAGGCGGTGAGGACGCGTCCAAAAACCCCGCGCTGCTGGGCATCCTGCACCTCGTCGCGGTAGAGGTGGTCGAGCTGGGAGCATCGGCAGCCGAACACCAAGGTCATGGGGGCCGGCTGCAGCCCTGCAAGTAGCACTGCGGCTTGGGAGAGCCCCCTCCCAGGGGCGCAGCCCTAGCGACTTCGCCCACTGGCTACTGACAGCCCAAGCCTCTGGTGTCTGGCCTCCAGAAGAGTGCGGAATGCTTTCACAGAGACCTTGCCCGACCCTGGTTTACGGAGACGACGCTCACGCGGAGGCAGCTTACCAGAGGTGGTGGCTCCTCGGGTGGAACCACCAGCGGTGGCATTGCGCTAGAACGTGGGGCTTCTGACTCAGACGCCCTTGGCACCATCTGACACGGAAGTTCTAAAAGCCCCCATCTAGCACGGTCCCTGCTCCAACCCCATATTCTTCCACACCCTCAGTTTCCGCACTCTCTGCCTTCCTCTCCGTCACAGCCCCCTCCTTTTGTTTTACTGGGTGCCCTGCACACCCCATGTCCAACTTGAACATCCTGTAGCTTCCTTGGGTCTTGGACACAGCTGGGTGAGCTCTGGGGCAGTCCCAAGTACACTTTGGCCATTTGAGTCCTAGCCCCATTGTCTCCAGACTTCCAGTTCCCCCTGTACCCTTGTCTTTAATCCGGTTCCACTGCCTACTTTGTGTCTGGCACCAGGGAGCCAAGTGAACAGGGCACCGCCCTCTGGTTGATCTACTAAGTTTCTGTTCACCTCTGTGGCCTGTTCCTTGACTTCCTTCCTGTCTTCCAGGTTTCTGTCTTCCAGTCTCTGTCCCTTTCCCCCCTCCTGCCTTCCAGTCATTCCCTTGGCCCCCAGTCTCACCTTTGCTGTCAATGTCGTGCAGCCGCTCCTGCCAAAATCCCCGGAAGGGGGCAATACCTGTGCCAGGGCCCACTAGGATGCAGGGCAAGCTGGGATCAGGCGGCAGCCGGAAGGAGGGAGCCCTAGTGGAGAAACACTGTCGGCCCCTGTGCTTTCCCAGCTCCCCCGATTCTTACCATCTTCCATTGAGAGGAGAGAAGAGAACTCAGGTTCCACTGATAAGTGGGATAATACTTGCCACGTGTGTTCGACACAGTCTGGCTCACAGTGAGCACGATGTGTTTATGGAAAGAACTCTACCTGCAGGCAGAAACTCCCTGGACCTGTGCTTCTGGAGGTTGGGTCACAGGAAATACAATGTAATTTGAAGTGAAGAATGTTCTGATGTCTCAGTTTAAGAGATTTACAAAACATGGGAAGGGAAGGACAGCTTTTGGCTCATAACGAGTTCACTCATTTTCAGTCATAGCCTTAATATGGGTATTTGGATCGTATTCAGTAGATTGGTACAGTGTGTGATTCCTCCTGATAGGTTTGGGTGACGGGACCTAGTTGGTGCCCATCCTGGAAACTCTTTTAAGTCCCCCCTGAGACTTTGGGTCCTGGCTGCTGGGTGGGGCGAGACTTCTGAACACGGCACGCAGGAAGGGCATCCTGAAGACTAACTTTCTTCCAGTCCTTACTGATACTTTGGTAACTTAACTAGTTCTCCCTGGACTAAGTGAGGACTAATTCTGGAACAGGACACAGTTCCCAAGTGCCTGACTGCCTCCCCAGTCAGACTGACCTCGAGGATGTAGCAAGGGATGGGGCGCCTGGGTGACTCAGTCGGTTAAGCATCCGACTCTTGATTTTGGCTCAGGTCATGATCTCCCGGTTCGTGAGTTTGAGCCCCATGTTGGGCTCCGTGCTGACATTGCGGATTTGGGATTCTCCCCCCCCCCCCCCACACCTCAAAAACAAACAAATAAATACAACTTTCAAAAAAGCCAAATAAGCAGGGGACATAGTGTACCTAAGTGCAACAGGAGCTGCTGGGCGAATCCAAGCCCTGTCTCTGGGAGGGGAAGCTTCGGGGCAGGACGCTAGGTCCCAATGAGTAAAACGCCCAAAACTTCGTCGAAGTTCTGAAGTCGCTTGAGCGGACACCCCATCCTTGATACGTGTTGAGTCGGTCCTCCCTGCTCCCAGTCACCAAAGCTTCCACCCTCACCCTGTGCGACCACCTGCTGATTCCTCTGTCTGTCCCCGGCCATCTGTCTGTCCCCGGCCGTCCCCGGGGCACTTTGTCCACCCCTGCTTGGATGGACACTCTCTCCTTTGATGTCCCTGAACTATTCACTCACCCCCTGATGAAGCAAGGTACAGGATCTCCGGCCTTCAGCTGGCTCAGCCATGTGGAGCAGACTCCATAGTGCAGGGGGCCCAGTCCATCTGGGGGTCGGGGAGGAGAGGGTGCCGGTGAGGGGCCCGTCCCCGGGTCCCCGTGTGGCCCTGACCCCGGCCCTTCGCAACCTCACCCTGGGTCCTGTACGCCAGCACGGCCACCGTGAGGTGAATCTCTCCCGGGTGGGCGCTGGGCGCCGAGCTGACGGAGTAGTACCGGGGCTGGAGCAGGGGCAGCTGGGTGAGGAGCAGGGGGGCAGGCAGTGCCACGGACGGGAACTGTTCCAGCGCCTCCAGCAGCGTGGGGCACCGGAACCACTTCCACTCCTCGTAGCGCCGGGGGTCCTGGTGGGGGCGGGGCGTCACGGCTCTGGAACCTCCCAACCCTGCCTGCTGACCTCCTTTCTTCGCTCCTCCTGAACTGAGCCCCCTGGGGTCTCTGCCTCCTTAGTTCGGGCCAACAAACGTTTCTGGAGCGCCGATGAGTTAGTGACTCAGGGGCTGGGTCTTAAGCCCCAGGACACGTGAGCCAGGTGCCTCCCCTTCCCCACCCAGCTCGTCCTGCCTCACCAGCCCCTGCTGCCCGCCCGGGTGGCCCTGCACCTGGCTGAGGCTCTCCAGCTCCTGCTGTTCACCGGACTCTTCGGCCAGGGTGCTGAGCAGTCGAAGGAGTTGAGGGCTGGGCGGGGAGGTGATGTCCAGGAAGAAGGTGAGAGCCTGGCGCAGCGTGCAGGGGGGCAGCCGGGGGTCCCGAACCCAGCTGGGGGGTGGGCCACCTGGGGGGGTGGTGTACAGGGGAGGTCTGAGGAAGAGGCCAGCTGGAACTGCGTGGTCTGAGGCGATGGTTGCTTGGGGGTAACACCAGCCCTGACCATCCATGTCTTGTGCTTTATTGGAGACGTTGCCTTTGAACAGTGGTGGTGAACCTGCCTGGGCAGCCCCTGTGTACGTGTGTGTGTGTGTGTGTGTG